AAACACCATCATGGTAACACACGTGAAACTGAAATAATGCAATAAACATTCATTTAACAACATTAGGTGTAACACACAACCCTAATATACAAAACTGATAAGAAAAAACTAAGAAGAAACATAGTTATTTCAACAAAAAAACATCAAATTTGAAATGTAATGCAGGGAATTCTGGGAATGTCAATTTACGGTTATTCACTGTAAATTATATGAAAAAGAATTATATTTTTCACTTCCAAAAACGGTATACTACTGTAAAATTACATGTAATGTCCAATACAGTTTTTCACCGTATATAGTAGGGGAATTTACCGTTAACCATTTAACAGGTTTTTACTGTAGCATTTTTACAGTCTTTTACCATTAAATTCACGGTCATTTTTTACAGTGCATGCTTAATCAGTATATATATATACTTGCATATGTGTCTTCTTGTGTATGTGTTTGTTTATGCAATATTAGTGTAACATGCATAATAAATGTATAATATTCTGTTGGTGGTTTGTGTGATTATTTTACTGCATCTATTGTTGCAAAACCCCTAATATGTAGCCAAATGAAGGACTTCAGATGTAGACTTAAGCTAAAATAACCATCATTTGCAATTTTACAGTGCTTAAAGAACAATAAGATCAATAATGTCTGTCACTCTTTTTAAGCAAAATAAGGAAAGGTGCATTAACTTAAAATGTACACTCAAATGGCTTGCCTTAATACACACACATGCAGATTAGTATTTACAATAGACATTTCAACAACCCAGGTTTTTTTTCTGGTTAATTTGAACATAATTCACATTAAATCATGCTTGGAAATTTAACAATAGCTAACTGATGTCAACAAGATGCACTTGTTTCTGTTTATCTACAACGGCTTTCCCGGGTTCATATTTCACAGGATTATCACAAAAACATTAGATAAATCATTAAGTCATTTTTGGGGTATCCAATATGACCAAAATCAATTTAGATCAGATCAAGATTTTACAGCAACACTTTATATAACATTATATAATAAATTACATCAAAATAAGACATGCAGACAGACTGACAGACATTAAAATTGTGGTGCTTTGTAGGTATGTTAAAGTCTCATGGGTCACATTTTTTTCTGCTACATAGTGAGGTATGTGTAATATGATCTTTTAAAAAAAGTGGTACACCTTTCTCAGGTTGTTAATTTAAATATGTAAGAAAAGAGGAGGAGATACTATGAAAACAGAAACCATAAATACATGTATGGGATAACGCCACAAGCACAGATATCTCCATGTTAACAGAAGAAAATCCCAAAATCGTATTGATCCCTGTATCCAGACAATCATTCCAACACCAAGGACGTTCTCTACAGAACATCCCTTTTGTGGACCATCCCAAGAGGTAAGACTTTGTTCAGAGTTTTGATAGGTAAGTGATCATTTACCTTTGGTCTTTGTAGTTGTTGGAAAAAAATTTTTGTGTACAACTTAAACTTCATTTACTTTTCCTCCATCACCATAGTGGCTGTGCTGCTTCTCTAACAAAAGGTCTTCAACATCTCAGTACCAGGTACTGAAGTTTTATTTGTTTCAAATAATTCTAGTAATTTAAATTACCTCCATTTATTCAGTTAACAATCACAGTTTTACTGTGCTAGTTTTTTCTCTGCAGCAGGTGATACACATCCTGTTGCTAGGTGATTTATCTTATATAGCGATTTGTCTTGTTTCAATGGCCAAGATAATTTTTTTTTCAATTTAAAAATTAAAATCAAGAAGATGAAGGAATGGAATGCGCAATAACATGTTTGACCATATTCTACAGTATAGAATGTTTGCAACAAGTTATGAGTATGTTTTTTTTGTCTGTCGACTGTCTGTCTTATGCTTTCTTTTTTCTTGTTTTCTTTGCTGTATGCATCACTGAATAAGTATCACCTTTTAACCAACAAGTTCCACATCAATCAGAAAAGGCATTGATCCTAAAAGTATGCCGTATGACAGCTTTGTTGAATGAACAGACAAAATTAAAGTGGTTATTCAATGAACATCTTAAGGCTCACTTTGGCATCTCTTGCACAATCGTGCAGATTGTAAAGACGGATGTCTATGATCTGAAAGCCAGAGATGTCTGGTCATTCAGTGATTCAGACTGCAAGAAAATCCATACCAGAGTGACTCAGTTTTATTGAAAATTGTCTTAAACCAGACTGTCCACCAAAACCAACTGAAAACCAACATCCAAATCTCATACCTCAACCAGAAGGTCCTGCACCAGCTCCTCCAGCCACAGAACTTAAGTCAGTGAATCAACCGCCTCCAGTTCAGCCAGTCATGAATCAGTCTGATCCAAGTAATCCTGCACATGACCAGGTTCAGCCACATGGAGGTAAACATACAATAAATGTACATTTTCAGAAGATGGAAGGAAATTAAACTCAGCAACATGACAGTTAGGCTGTACTAAATCCACTTACATACACATATAAATTCAAATAGTGGCTCAAACAGATTTTTTTAATTTACTATACTAACTAGAAAGTTTTTCACCTTTCATTTAGGTCCTGATCCAGCTTCTCCACCTGCTGGGCTTCAGCCAGAGAATCAGTCACCTCCAGTTCAGCCAGTCATGAATATGTCTGCTCCAATTAATGCAGTGCCACAACTGATTCTGCCTTATAAAGGTAAGTGTAGAATAAATGTACGTATATATCTGAGTGTTACATAACATTTAGATGTTCAAATGTTTAACTAAAAGGCTCTATTTTTCAAAATAGACAATAAATGTTAATATTTTCAAATACAATACACATCACATCAATACAAATAGTGCCACATAAAGAAGAAATGTTATGTTACTGTACTAACTAGATTCTTTAAACTTTCAAGGCTTTTACTTTCACTCTCAATTGTTTTTTCTTAAACTAGGCCATCCAGTCCAAAACTACCCTCCAAATGCCATACCTCAGACAGCAGGACCTGGACCGGTTCCTCCAGCTACAGGGCTCCAGCCACAGAATCAACCACTTCCAGTTCAGACAGTCATGAATCAATCTCCAAATCCAATGCCTCAGCCAGGACAGCACCTTTCCACTTATCCTGTGGGAGGTTATGTAGTACATGGGCAGGTTCCTCCGCTTGCAGGGCTCCAGCCGGGCAATTATCCACTTCCAGTTCAGATAGTCATGAATCCGTCTAGTCCAGGTAATCCAGCACCTCACCAGGTTCAGTCATATGCAGCGAAAAATAATAAATGTGTATGTGAATGACATATTTAGATATTAAAATGTTCAACTAAAACAAAGGCTTTTCTTTCCACATACAATAAAAGTTAACAATTTTCAAATGTCCTTTGTTGTCAGTTCATCCAGTGACATAGGAAGGAGTACATCAATACAAACGAGAACACAAATCAATAAAAACAAAAATGTTGATTATTGTCTTAAACTAGGTCATCCCAGAATCAGTCACCTCCAGTTCAGCCAGTCATGAATATGTCTGCTCCAATTAATGCAGTGCCACAACTGATTCTGCCTTATAAAGGTAAGTGTAGAATAAATGTACGTATATATCTGAGTGTTACATAACATTTAGATGTTCAAATGTTTAACTAAAAGGCTCTATTTTTCAAAATAGACAATAAATGTTAATATTTTCAAATACAATACACATCACATCAATACAAATAGTGCCACATAAAGAAGAAATGTTATGTTACTGTACTAACTAGATTCTTTAAACTTTCAAGGCTTTTACTTTCACTCTCAATTGTTTTTTCTTAAACTAGGCCATCCAGTCCAAAACTACCCTACAAATGCCATACCTCAGACAGCAGGACCTGGACCGGTTCCTCCAGCTACAGGGCTCCAGCCACAGAATCAACCACTTCCAGTTCAGACAGTCATGAATCAATCTCCAAATCCAATGCCTCAGCCAGGACAGCACCTTTCCACTTATCCTGTGGGAGGTTATGTAGTACATGGGCAGGTTCCTCCGCTTGCAGGGCTCCAGCCGGGCAATTATCCACTTCCAGTTCAGATAGTCATGAATCCGTCTAGTCCAGGTAATCCAGCACCTCACCAGGTTCAGTCATATGCAGGGAAAAATAATAAATGTCTATGTGAATGACATATTTAGATATTAAAATGTTCAACTAAAACAAAGGCTTTTCTTTCCATATACAATAAAAGTTAACAATTTTCAAATGTCCTTTGTTGTCAGTTCATCCAGTGACATAGGAAGGAGTACATCAATACAAACGAGAACACAAATCAATAAAAACAAAAATGTTGATTATTGTCTTAAACTAGGTCATCCCGTCCAAAACAACCTTCCAAATCTCATGCCTCAGTCAGAAGTTCCTGCACCGGCTCCTCCAGCCATAGAACTTCAGTCAGTGAGTCAACCACCTCCAGTTCAGCCAGTCTTGAATCAGTTTGATCCAAGTAATCCTGCACCTCACCATGTTCAGCCATATGCAGGTAAACCTAGAATAAACGTATATCTGAGTGTTATTTAATATTAAGATATAAGAAATGTTACTTATTTTGAAGTTGGAAGGAAGTTAAACTTTAACAACATCAAATTCAATTAATTCTAAACAAGTTAAACGGCTCAACTGAAGTCAAATCTGTACTTACCAAAATAGACTAAGTTCATATTTTCCTATGCACTTTGTTGAATAGTGTGTATGTACTTAATGCACATTAATGCTGTAAAGACAATGCAAGTCTAATGATGGTGTATCTCCATCCTCCTCACAAACATCTCTAGCACCTGCAGTTCCACCACTAGTTCAACTTTATGGAGTACCACCTGGTCTCGAATACCTTGCTCAGGTGGGGCTTACCTCTCTCTTTCTATCAATATATCTTTCTGGAAGTGTCATGTCTGGTTACTACTACCTGGTATTTTTTTGTGCATTTCAGATTGACCAAATACTTGTTCACCAAAAAATGGCGTGTATAGAGAGTGAGTCTTCTTATATTAGTCCTTTTTGTTCATTTTTATTAAGTGTGTTAGAGCACTGCCAATGTTTGAAAACATTTCTGTTAACACTTTGATGATTCCTAAAAGATTGCATACTTTTACCCTGTTTAAACAGAAGAGATATTTTAATCTGACAAACTATGATCATACTTGTCTACAGTGCTTACTGGCTTTGAGACTAACAACCAGTATGAGATCAAGAACAGCATTGGGCAAGAGATCTACCATGCCAAAGAAAAGAGTAACTGCTTTGTACGTAATATCTTTGGTTCAGCACGTGGTTTTAAAATGCGAATTACAGACAACATGGGCCAAGAGGTCATTCAGATGGACAGACCAATGCGCTGCTTCCTGCAAGAGGTAGAACAGACTTTATCAGTTTTATCAAGGTTAATGTAGTAGCTAAATAAAAAAAATGTATGCAAATTTTGAAAGGAACTCCAACATACTGGGCCTCAGACAAAAAAACGACAAGTAATTTTTTGACCTAGAATGAAATATCATTGAAATCAGTGAAATTATTTAGTTGACAATTTACATAATTGCTTATTAAAGATTTGTATGGTTTAGCTTTTATCAAGTCACAACTATGTGCTGTAATGAAGGGCTGTTTATAAACTACAGCATGAGATGTAAAGGCAAGGCAAGGCAAGGCAAGTTTATTTATATAGCACATTTCATACACAATGGTAATTCAAAGTGCTTTACATAAAAGAAATGAAAAAATTATAAAAAAAAATAAAAATAATAATCACAACAATAAAACAAGGAATTTAAAACTTTGAAAATGATTTAAAAATTGATTTAAGAGGTTTAAAATGAATTTAAAACAGTTAAGCCTATATACAACACAAGCCTATATATTTCAGCTTCCAGTTCATTTTAAAAAATGACTGATGGTTTAGTGAGGGATTGAGCTGCTCACAAGCAAGTTCGAAGCTGTTTCGTGAATGCTTTAAAAAAAAAAAAACTTTGTAGACCCATACAATGTTGCTGGCTGTTAAGACTAGATTTTTTTTTTTCATATTTGCAACCACTTAAAATGTATATTTCCATTTTTCCTAATTATGCAGTTAAAGGTTGAAGATAGCAATTTGAAGGGTAATTTGAAACTAATCTTGGTATGAATGGGGATATGATATGATTTAGTTGTTGAGTTTTTAAGGACATACTTGCAAGCAGCTGTGCAGGGATTTGAGCTAATTCTTTTCATGGGACAGTGGTACAGGGGTTAAACTGATTTAGCATGAGATGGACAGCGCTCTATTTTTAGCTGTGTGTTTACACGCTTCTTGGGCATGTGTCTATCAGTATTTGAGTTATTCGATTCACTATTTAATATTCCATACTTCAGAATCAAGATTTTTTGTTGTCACTCCTACACAGCCACATACCCTGTTCTTTTTGTGTAAGTAATTTAAATGTACACTTAAATCACTTAGAGTGGAGATGGATTTGGCACTGCTATTAAGACATTTGGAAACTGCTATAAATTTCTATTCAGTGCTCTTGAATCACCTGCACACCTAAAGTGTCTTATAACTTTGTCTGATTGCACACATTTTCACATATTTTCTTTTCTTATTTATTAATTGATGTGAATTTTCCACCCTCAGATTGAAGTACAGGCTCCACCTGGAGTAACCATAGGCTATGTGAAACAGGAGTGGTCCTGCTTTTTACCAAAATTCTCCATCCTGGGCCCCAACAATGAGGTACTACTGAAGATCCGGGGACCCTTCCTTCCACTCAAATGCTGTGGTGACATAAATTTTGAGGTAACATTTATTTCAGACAAAATGAGAGCAATAATGAAATAATTTTTTAGACTTAAACCCGTGTTAAGGTGTTTTGCATTTGATGTTAGTATTACACGTCTTTTGCACCACTAAGAAGGTCTGTCTTTAGGTAAAAGGCATGATTGGTGAACAGTCTATTGGTCGAATCACAAAACAACGGAGTGGTTTCATTAAGAAATGCATCAGTGATGCCACCAACTTTTGTATCCAGTTCCCTATGGACATGGATGTTAATATGAAGGCTGTACTTTTAGGTGCTTGCCTCCTTATTGTGAGTATTAAGCAAATGACTTTGGTGATTCACAGGACATTGCGGTCTAACTGTAAATATTGGAAGTTCATTCGGAGCTGATATTTTGAACTGTTTTGGAAATGAATTAGACTTGGCACAGTATAGTATGAAATTACATCAATTAATAAAATATCAACAGTATGCAGTTGTGTTAAAATATGTAGTATTATAGTATTGATTCTTGTTTGGACTGATCTCTCTTCATTCTCTTTCCTTTTCTTCTCATAGGACATCATGTTCTTTGAAAAAGGTGGAAATTTATTTCTAAAATTATTAAAGGGATTTTAAAATGCCTTCCTTTTAAAAAAAATATATGTAAAGTGGGTATAAATTTAATAATATCCCACCATTTTCCATCCTGTCCCTGGCTCTCTAACTGAAAGGCTCAGTTTTTGTGGTGCTTGGCCTTTTTTGATTGGCTAGAATTGTTGTCATAGGAAATAATGTAGTTTTTTAATAATACAAGAATATGTACCTAGGTGCTTTATTGCATTAGTAGAAGGAGATACAGGATTATAAGAGGAAAGATGCAACACAATATGTTATATATATTTGACAAATATAATATAAATGAAGCATATGTAACATATGAAAAAAAAATGTATGTTCTAATCTGTTTGCAAACAAGCATTGCTCTAAATGTATGATTCACACTCTGTCCTTTCATTTAAATTGACACATTTATAGCTGAAAGTTGGATATCTTCCTTTCAATACAGGATTGTGACTCATTACCCCTCCAAGAAGATATTAATGTTTTACATTATGATTTTTTTTCACATTAGCTTATAGAATGTTGTGGGCAAAAAAAAAAGCACTTCTCTGTCATCATTCCATTTTAAGTCTCAGAGGAGCCAGTATGGAGTCTGTAAGGGTTAATGAGGACCTGAGCAAAATCCAAACTTTCGATCTGCAGATGATTTGATGGGTCTGCTTTCCATTTGAGGGAGTTTTCTTTTCAGAGATCTGCTTTTCTCTCTCCTCCCTAATAGCAGAAAGAGTCAAATGCATGTGGCCTGAGTGAGAGTGTGGTATAAGACAATACACATACTGTCGTCATAGAAAAAAATGCTAAATGGGCAGGCAACCTTTGTCGAGATGGAGAAACCTACAAGCATAAATGGACTCATTGGGCCTTATCTGTCCCCTCCCCTTCCTATCATTATGGATTGGAAAAACATGGAATGGAATATTCTTCAGTTCTGCATTCCTCTTTAGTGAATTCCAGCACTTGTGGGAACACACATGCACTATTATGAAAATATTCAACAGTGTTTTTCCATAACCTTGTAGTTTCATTTGTACAGCACAAATTAACCAGATTTACTGTCATTCGGTTGTATCTCTTCAAAATGTTAGTTTTTGTTGTCACTCTTTTTCATAATTAGTATTTAGCTCTCATAATCATATTTTGCTCTCCAGACAAATCAAATATGCAGCCAATCAAATACCCATATGTTTTTTTTTTTTTTGACATTTTAAAATTGGATTGTATTTTCTGGAACAATTAAAATGGCATAAATAGATTGCTAACATTCTTTTGATTTCTTATTGCATGTGCATTTTCATGTTTCACATTCATATGATTTCTTCTACCCAACAAACAAATAAAATGTATTAAAATGTGGTCTTATTTTATAACACGTGTAAAAAACATTTTTTTTAAATACGAGACCAGTTCATTAACCGTTCCAAATTGAACTTTCACAACAAAATCACCAAGGAACTAATGTATTTTACCACAACTTGCTATGAACTATCAAGAAGAACATTAGATTTGAAGCAGTCAGCTGAGGTATCTCTTTTTAAATAACACTACACAGCAAAATCCCCAGTTAAATCAACTCTGCTCAGAGTGCATATTGTCCCAATCTACAGAGAATGTTGGTCCCATTTTATATTAGGTGTCTTTAAATACTATGTACTTAATATTATCTATCTATTGAGGTGGGATATGGTTAAGGTTAGGGGCGGGTTTGGTGGTATGGTTAGGTTTAAGGGGTAGAGTTAGGGTCAACAGTGTAAATATTGATGTAACTACAGAAATTAACTGTAAATGTACAGTATTTTCAAATATAAGTACAATGTAAAAACATGTACGTACACAATACATGCATTGTATCAAATGATTAATTTAAATGTAAGTAAATAAGGACACATTATAAAGTGGGTCCAAAATGTTTTAGACTATTATGCCCACAAAATTAAAGGTTAAATGCACATTAAACTATGAAGTCAGGACCCAGTAGAATCATATTAGACAGGCAAGGGTTACATAACATAACTAGTCAACAAGACTTCTTGTCCAACCAGTTTATTTTATGAAATGAGTGAAAAGAACGCAACACTTCTGTAGCATTTACTTTTGCTTTCTTTATTAGGCTATATGCACCATTGTTTTGTTTTTGCTTCACCTTTTATCGCCATCTGGTTCCACATGATATATTGACAGTAATGCTAAATACAGATATCTGATCCTTACTGATGTGTGTCATAGACATATCTTTGAAGACGTAAATGGTGTACAGTGGTGCTTGAAAGTCTGTGAACCCTTCAGAATTTTCTATATTTCTGCATAAATATGACCCAAAAGATCATCAGATTTTCACACTTTCCTGAAAGTTGATAGAGAATCCAATTAAACAAATTAGACAAAATATATACTTTGTCATTTATTTATTCTGGAAAATGATCCAATATTACATATCTGTGAATGGCAAAAGTATGTGAATCTCTAGGATTAGCAGTTAATTTGAAGGCGAAATTAGAGGTGTTTTTAATCGATGGTATGACTATCAGGTGTCAGTGCGTGCCCGGTTTTATTTAAAGAACAGGGATCTATCAAAGTCTGATCGTGTTTGTAGAAGTGAATTATGGCACGAACAAAGGAGATCTCTGAGGACTTCAGAAAAAAGGTTGTTGTTGCTCATCAGACTGGAAAAGGTTACAAAACCATCTCTAAAGAGTTTGGCCTCCACAAATCCACAGTCAGACATAAAATGGAGGAAATGTAAGACCATTGTTACCCTCCCCAGGAGTGACTGACCAACAAAGATGACTCCAAAAGCAAGGACCCCAGGGTAACCTCTAAGTAACTAAGGCCCTTTCTCACATTGGCTAATGTTAATGTTAATGAGTCCATCATCAGGAGAACACTGAACAACCATGGTGTCCATGGCAGAGTTGCAAGGAGAAAGCCACTGCTCTCCAAAAAGAACATTGCTGCCCATCTGCAGTTTGATAAAAATCATGGATAAGCCAGAGGGCTATTGGAGAAATGTTTTGTGAATGTATGAGACCAAAATAGAACATTTTGGTTTAAATGAGAAGTGATATATTTGGAGAAAGGAAAACACTGCATTCCAGCATAAGAACCTTATCCCATCTGTGAAACATGGTGGTGGTAGTATCATGGTTTGGGCCTGTTTTGCTGCATCTGGGCCAGGACGGCTGCCATCATTGATGGAACAATGAATTCTGAATTATACAAGCACATTTTAAAGGAAAATGTCAGGACATCTGTCCGAGAACTGAATCTCAAGAGAAAATGGGTCATGCAGCAAGACAACCACCCCAAGCACACAAGTCGTTCTACCAAAGAATGGTTAATGAAGAACAAAGTTAATGTTTTGGAATGGTCAAGTCAAAGTCTGGACATTAATCCAAAGGAAATGTTGTAGAAGGACCTGAAGCAAGCAGTTCATAGGAGGAAACCCACCATAGAGTTGAAGTGGTTCTGTACTGAGGAATGGGCTAAAATTCCTACAAGCGTTGAGCAGGACTGATCAGCAGTTACAAGAAACATTTAGCTGCACTTATTGCTGCAAAGGGGGGTCAGACCAGATACTGAAAGCAAAGATTCACATACTTTTGCCAGTGACAGATATGTATCACTGGATAATTGTTCTCAATAAATAAATGACATAGTATATATTTTTGTCTCATTTGTTTGATTGGATTCTCTTTGTCAACTTTCAGGACTTGAAAGTTCTTGAAAGAGAAGGACTTGAAAGAAAATCTGATTATCTTTTGGGTCACATTTATGCAGAAATATAGAGAATTCGGAAGGGTTCGCAAACTTCTTTCAAGCACCACTGTAACTGTAACTGTTCATATCATCATATCAAAGAATCATATCAACTTGTGGAAAATGGGCATCCTATGACCCCTTTAAGCCTTAAACAGGTTTCCTGTCATTGAGGTGTGGCTCAAAGAATTTGACATGTATTTGTATGACAATGGCATGTTTGGAATGAAATGCTGCACTCTCAGAAAAAAGTAGCATAAAGGTTGTCACTGGGGTGGTACCTTTTCAAAAGGTACCTTTAGGGGTTAATATAAGGTACAAAGGTATACCTTTTGAAAGGGTACTGTCCCAGTGACAGCTTTTGAACCTTTTTCCTGAAAGTGTACATATATATTTATTTATGTATCATTTATAATATATATAAATAATATATATTACATATGTACATGCATGTGTGTGTATTACACATATAAATAGCACAGTACACACATTATGTAAACAAACTTTTATTTTGGATGCAATTAATCGTGATTAATCGATTTGACACCTGTGGAAAATGGGCATCCTATGACCCCTTTAAGCCTTAAACAGGTTTCCTGTCATTGAGGTGTGGCTCAAAGAATTTGACATGTATTTGTATGACAATGGCATGTTTGGAATGAAATGCTGCACTCTCAGAAAAAAGTAGCATAAAGGTTGTCACTGGGGTGGTACCTTTTCAAAAGGTACCTTTAGGGGTTAATATAAGGTACAAAGGTATACCTTTTGAAAGGGTACTGTCCCAGTGACAGCTTTTGAACCTTTTTCCTGAAAGTGTATATATATATATTTATTTATGTATGATTTATAATATATATAAATAATATATATTACATATGTACATGCATGTGTGTGTATTACACATATAAATAGCACAGTACACACATTATGTAAACAAACTTTTATTTTGGATGCAATTAATCGTGATTAATCGATTTGACACCACTAATATATTTACAATTTC